ACAATTCAACTTGATTTTAATGGATAAACTGGTGTTGCTGCTTAAAATGTGAATATTAAAATGTACTCTTTGAATCTATTTCTTTAATACTCTTTGTCTCTTTCTTGAATTTTATCTTTATTGAATTTATAAGTTATATTTATTTATTCTTACCTCTTTTGTTTCACTATAGAACCAGAGAGAGGGAATAACATTATTGCTTTCCGTTGAAAGAGCTTAGATGAGTTGCTAATTTTTCTAATTCTCTCTTGACACATAAGGAGGTGTAAACTATTAATTCTTTCTAAGATAAAGTGAATTCAAAGCAGATATCATCAGTCTCTTACACATCATACACCTATTACTAAAATTTAACAGTCTCTAAGAAAAGGCTTATTATTTCTTATCTTTCCTGTGCTTTTACTCTTCAACTTTTTCCCTTTTCTAAACTGTACTTTATCTGGTTTTATATTGAGTTTCACATTCTGTCTCCAATTATTGCCAACAGAATTGATGAGAAGTACAGGCTTATGTAAGGATCCAAAGAGACCAGGTATGAACAAAGTTAAGCTAAAGTAAATGGAAAGAAATTGTTTGAAGCTAAATTGGCAAAATACCAATAAAATGAGATGCTGGTGAATGACTGATTTACTTGTAACTTAAAAAAAATTAACAGGTAAACTAACACACTAACTGTTGTTTGTCGAACCAAAATTTGTTCTCTAGTAACACAAACAACATCTCCTTCATTTTGCCCACCACTAGACCTATTAGACTCTTGATTTTTAAGAAGACGTTGAAGGCAAAATTTGGCCAAGTTGTAGGATAGGAGCAATAGAGAAAGACAAGATTTCTATTTGACTGAAACTGAAAATCTGAATTGTGATTCTGGACACTCAGGTCCACAGAATCTTGATACTATTCAGGGATGGGTAGCTGAGCCAGGAAGAGCCACTGGTAGGCAACACTAGCCCAAGGAGTCACTGGTAGCTGCTTCAGAAAGCATCTGAAGTGTCAGGAACTGAGGCACCTTTATGGCTATAATGGGTACTAAGCTAAACACAAAACAGATCCATCTTTGCCCCGATAGGAATACTGGCTTCATAAGGGAACACACGGGAAATGAAGGTGCAAGCTGAACTGATTACTTCTTACCAGCATTATTAGAGCCCGTGGATCCTGACATAACTGGAAACAAGAGCCCCTCAAATGCACAGTTGACAAGCCGAGCGCCTGTAATCCTAGCTATGCAGGAGGCTGAGATCTGAGGATCGCAGTTCGAAGCCAGCCCGGGCAGGACGGTCCTGAGACTCTAATCTCCAATAAACTACCAGAAAACTGAAGTGGCGCTGTGGCTCAAGTGGTAGAGTGCTGGCCTTGAGCTGAAGAGTTCAAAGCCAGCGCCCAGGCCCAGAGTTCAAGCCCCTTAACCGTCTCCCCTGAATCGGCAAATGTATTTGAACGTCGCATCCTCTGAGTTTCTGTCACTTACTACCAAGGTCCTAAATACCCACTCGTTCCCTTGGTCATTGAATCAGCTGCAGTCCATTCTAGGCATTCTCTGCCTTGAGTTCTTGTAAATTTGAATGGGGGAAGAAAATGAAGGAATGTGTCGGAAGCAACTCCTTCAAGCTGCGGTTTAAATACAGGATGGCCCTGTTGCCTGCTTCCAAAATAAGTGTAAGAAATTTGATAGACTATTTGTGAACACCTCTGAATATAAAAATTAGTGCTTTATTGGCATTAAAAATTGAATCTGTGTGGTCAGCATTATACTTTATGGTCCTTAGACCACTCAAAGTCTGGCAACTTCTTTTTAATAGATCAATTGTGCCCGCCTACTGTGCTGCTAGGCTACAACTTGGCCAGATTTTATTTTAAAGGTCATTTTATGGCACAGAGCCAGACCTTACAACAAAAGCCGAATGCTAATGGAATTGTTGTGATTTAAAACTGTGAAACACAATCTATTTTTCAATGGAGGAAATAAGAACCATAACCACAAATATTTCCAGTTTCTTAACTCAACCTTGAAAGATGTTTTTTTTTTTACCTTTTTAGTTCATTATTTAATGATGAGAAAGATTTTTTAAAATGTTGGATAGTATCAAAGGATCTGATTGGCAGACCGAAGTTCAAGTTTCAGTAATGACACCTACTAGATGGCTGACCTGGGGCGTGTGTCACTTAACATTTCATGACATAAATATTCAATTATAACAAGGATATTAAAAAGGAGGGTGCTTGTAAAGTATTTGATTCTGAGCCTGGAACACAGAAAGTCTTCAATAGATGTCTATTGTGAACACCTCTGATATTGTTGGCAATATTGCTAGGAAACTTAATATTACTGCTAGTAGAGTATTCATTATTCATATTAGTTTCAGTGCTGAGGAATTTTTATGTTACAGGTTTCTTGCCTCCTTGCTTACCTTCTTACTCTTTCTTTTCTCTTTCATTCATCAAATTTAATCCTTCCTTCCTTCCTTCCTCCCACCTTCCTTCCTCTTTCCTTCCTTTTTCCTTCCTTCTTTTCTTCCATCCTTCCTTTTTTCTTTGCTTCCTTCCTTCCAAAGGAACCTGCATTAGGAGAAATCTTTAGTGAAAAAACATAAACCTTATTTTGAAAACAACAAAGAATTTTCCAGAAATATAAGTATAGACAATAAGTCACATATATAAGATTCTAATATAAATTTCCAAGCAAAGTTATTGATTTATAGGATGCCAATGTTTTTAACCATGAGCAAGTAGAAAATTGTTTATAAAATTTGCAATATGTTTAGGAAATAGGAGTTCAGAAATAGTTTCCTTATACAAAGAAGTAATATTTCTTGAATAGAAAAAAATCTGAATAAAAAAAGAAATACAATCTAAATGATGGAAGGAGACACTAAGCAAGATGGATTATACACCACATAAATTGGCATATTGAATTTAACCCCTTTATGCAATGATTTAAAGGTAATTAAGTAAAACCCATCACCCAAATTACTGTGTACTTATTGAATATTATTACTTAACAAAACACATTTTTCTAGCACCATCCAACAAAATAATACAGAGAGCTCCACAGGACATTCAGAGAGTTAAAATAGGATTGCAACAGAGTACTCTTCTGGTAATATAAAGAACAGAGTAGAAGGGAGGCAAAGTTAGAGGAAGGAAGACCATTGTGGAAATTCATGAGACTGTCCAAGCAAAACACTCAGGCCTGAGGGAGAATGATGGAAGAGATGACACTGATTGAAATTCATTGTACTAATAAATTGACATGTTGAATTGAGACCCCTTTGTATGACTAAAGACAGTTTTTCAAAAATGACACAAAGAAAGTAAAGAAAGAAATAGATATACTGGCTTATATCATAATAACCGTAAGAGTAATTGGATTTAGGAAATAGTTTGTAGATGAGATGAAAAGGTCTACTGATGGAGTAGGTATGGGATATCTAATAAGATAGACACATAGCAAGAGAAGCAGAGAAGGACTCTATATTTGGATATTTGGTGATTAGAAGGAATGTGCTATTGCTTATTGAAATGGTCAAGTTTCTATGAAAAGCCAAGTAGATAGACATTTAGGAGAAAATGGTGTTCCAAACACAAGCAATACTAGGAGAAGTAGCAGAAAGATTTTTTTTTTAAGCCTGGCATATCTACAGAATATGCTTGAAACAGAGGATACAGAAAGTGTTGGGGATACAGAGAAGGTGGACAGATGGAGCGGGCGATGTTGCCGGAAGGCAGATTGCTGACATAGAGCTTGGTTCTTTAGGGTAGGGAGGGACAGTGAATCATGTAGGGGTTAACAGAACTAGTCTCTTGTAAAGTAATAAAAAAAACTCAGAAATGAAAAGGCGGTGGTAAAAAATATCTATAGTTATCAACAAACTAAACAACTGATAAAATTAAGGTTAAAAATAGGATATAAATACTATAAAATATGGTACACTAATGATAATGTAACTATATGAATCAAATTGAAACAGTTTGAAGAGGAAGAGTGAGTCAATGATAGTATCAATCACAGAGAGGATTTACTGTGTTTTTTTTAAGTGTCCTAAGAACTTACCTCACTCAACATGATGATCTCTAGTACTAGCCACAAACTGACATAATTCTATCCTTATTTATGGCTCAGTAATATCCCATGGTGTATTATATATGCATATATATTTAGATGTCTATGCATATGTATGTGCATATATATTTCATAATTTCTTATCTGTTCCTTGGTTTCGTGTGTCTCAGCCAATTCAAGCTATGAAAATAGCTTGGCTATTGTGAACAGAGTTGCAGTAATCATATGGGTATGTAGGTATCCCTCTTGTACACTTGAGTTACATTCTTTCAAGTATATGCCAGTGCATGATATGGTAGAGTTATAGATATCTCTCCTTTCAGTTTTTGAAGATGCTCCATGCAGTCTAGTGGACATAGTGGTTAGACCAGTTTGCTTTTTCATAATAGTCATACCAGTTCACTTTTTCACCAACAGTGTTTGAGGATTGTTCCCTCAATGCCTGTTCCTTATTAGCAGCATTTGTTCTTATTTTTATTTGATGATTGCCATTCTGACTAGGGTGAGATGGAATCTTAGAGTAGTTTTAATGTGCATTTCTTTTATGGCTAAATATGTTGAACATTTCTTCATGTAATTACTAGCATTTTGCATAACTAATTCTTTTATCTATTAGTCATTTGTAAGAAAACTGATTGATTTGTTCATTGGGTCATTTGTTCTTTTATTTTCTAATCTTTGAGTTCTATGTATATTCTGGATATTAATCTTGTATTTGTGAATACTGACAAAAAATCTTCTATGGTGTAGGTTGTCTTTTGCTTTTGATAATTGTTTCTTTTGATGTGCAGTATTTTTAAAATTTTATATAGTCCCATTTGTCTGTTCTTTTGTTATTTCCTGGGCAATTAGTCTTATTTTTAAAAGTAACTTCCTGTGCCTATATCTTCCAGAAATTTTCTTACATTTTCCTATAGTAGCTTCAGACTCAGTGCTTAAGAATATGGAAAGTTTCATGAGTGTCTGTGTCATCCTTGCACAAGGGACATGCAAATCTTCTCAGTATTGTTCCAATTTTAGTATATGTACTGCTGAAGTGAGCACTACTATAAACTTTTTTAAAAGAGTTCTTTATGACACTGAAACACAAAGAGAAATAAAACGATGTAGTTCAAAAGTCAGTTAGGTGTGGAAGCTCATGCCTGTAATCTTAGCTATACAGGTGGTAAGAATTACGAAGATCAAAGCTTGAGCCAACTGTTTGTGGAAAAGTTTGAGGAAAATATTTGTGAGACTACATCTCAGCAGACCAAAAACACACCTACATCTCAGTTATAAGGGAAGTATAAAGAAGAGGATCATAGTCTAGGCTGGCCTAGATCTTATTTAAAAATAACAAAAGCAAAAAAAAAATAGTTAAGCATATGGCTCAAGTGGTAGAAAACCTGCCTTGCAAGGGAAGGCTCTAACTTCAAACTCTAGTACTGTAAAAAATGAAAACAAAAACAAAAATGCCACACACAGTAAGTGGAACTGTAAAATCTATGCGTTCTCAGATATGTATAATGCTTGCTGAGGGGGAAAAAAAGTTATAAAGCAAGAAAGAAGGGGGGCCCAGGAGGCTTTTGGATGAAAGTAACGCGAGCAGGTAGTTTACTGGTTACAGTGTGTGAGTGTGTGTGTGTGTGTGTGTGTGTGTGTGTGAGTGAGTGTGTGTGTGTGTGTGAGTGTGTATGTGTGTGTGTGTGTGTGTGTGAAAGTGATAACAGGTCATAGTATCTAAAATAAAAATTGACCTAAAGCATCTGAGATCTTGGGTTACTATTTGCAATATATAGCTTTGAAAGGGGACTATTATGCTATTATGCCATAATAATTCAAACACTGTAGTGTCCCTTTGTATAGTATTTTAATGTACTGCTAGAGAGACTTTGATCAATATCAGATAAATTATTAGGTTTGCAGCATCACAGAATTCCTTGCTATATACCACATGGCCTAGGTTTCAGTCAGCTATTGTCCGTTCCATCATATCTCAGCAGGGTGTGAAAATTAAAGATGACATATTTTAACTTAAAAAAAAAAAGATTTTTAACTTAAAAAAAAAGATTTTGAAGCTGGTTAAGCTATTTTTTTAAAATCATACAGTAAAGTGTAATAGTACATGGGCAGACAATAAAAAACTTGGGTTAGAGGACAGGGGAACTGTATACACAAAGAAAGGCATAAATAGAGACAGGCTGATGGGAAATAAAACCCCACCTTCTACTTAGCAGCTGTCAGGCTCTTAAAAGTGAGTTCTGGAAAGACCACAATTCCTGATTGCCTGGAGCAGAGGAAGGCATACAGAACCATAACATGGTGTAGCACCATCTGGTGACTGAATGAATAAAAAGCACAAATAGGACTATATGACTTCCACCCAGTGGAGATGAAGGAGGGGGAGAGGAGAAGAAAGGGGAAGGGGAGGCAAAGGAAGAAGAGGAGGAGGAGGAAAAAAGGCAGTTCTGTTTTTCTGTTTTCTCTAATTTTCTTTCCATGTCATTGCCATTTAATTCTCATAACCCCTTTCAAATTAGCTTTCTTATCAACAGAGTTTTGGATACCCAGTTGAAAAAAAATCAGGTTTGTTTATCTTCTGCAAAAGAAGTGGGAACATTCTGAATGGGTCTTAAGTTTATAACATTTCACAAAATATTTTCATTATCTCTTACTACTCAAACAAATCATTATTTCAAAGAAAAAAATCCAATATTTTAAAGGTTTTACCTCTTTAAGCTGAAACTTGGTTCAGTGACATATTATTTAATTTAAAATTGCTTTGTTACCCTTACTGTGAAATACAGAGAAAGATGTGTAGAAGAAAAATAGTGACATAAGTGTGTTGGAGAAATTCAGATAGAAATTCTAGACAAATGAACAATCAAAGTATTTTTGCAAGACTCCAAGTTCTGTCAAGGTATAGATCACTTTTCTACAAACCTTTCTATCAATAACCAGCAAGGGTAAGAAAACCTTTTGAGTTTGGGTTTGGTTTGATTTGTTAATGCAAGCTGACTGATTATCCTCTTGGCATTTGAAACATTTGTTGTTAAAGCAAATGAACAATGAAGTCTGAGCTTCCAAAGAGCCTTTTGCCTGTCCTGTCCCTTTAAAGTCAATAGCTTTTGTAAATTCTCTGGCTGACCCCCAAATAAGAATTCTCAAAGAGATGATCCAGAGTCTTTAGAAACCCATTAGGCCACAGCACTGACCTAATCCTTGAGTGTCTGACTGCCTGGCAGAGCTGTGGTGACTTTGGCTGATGAAGTCCTCCCAGCCCCACTGGAATTCCCCTGATCCTAGTGGGAAAGGGAGAGGGGGAGAGAGGCCAAATTGCTCAAGGAATTATTGCTCTTAGTCTGGGGGACAGGGTGGCTTTTGGTTTCTTAAACTCTTTGGCCTGTTTCAGTCAACCTATGGAGGACTAGAAAAGCATAAAAGTCACTGGATTGCATTCATTCATCATTCAGTCGGTCAGACATTCACTAAGTCAACTATATATGAAATAGACAGTGAGGGTTAGGTATTTGTTGGTAATAGAAAAGTTAATGGGGAAAAACATAGACACATTCTCAGCTGCCATGTAGTCAGTGACCCAGATGCAGGCAGACACCAGTCCTATATTTTCCAAATTCATCATTTCTGCACTGCTTTAGGACCTAAGAAAGAAAAGTAAGGGGTGAAAGTATGTAAAGCTTTTTTTCTACTTTTCAAGTACCTTCTCATATGAAGTTCACCAACTCTACAGGCCACCCCTGTAAGAAAATAATTATTACTATTACTTTAAATTGAAGGACCAGAGTGCCTGTGACTCAAGAGGACCTCCTAAAGTCATATAAAGACAGGGCAGTGCCAGGAACAGGAATCAAGTCTTTCCTTATGAGGGGGATTAGACATTCTCAGTTAGGTACACAGGGATTAAACAAATGGTAGACATTGAAAATTTTTGCATGGATGTTCATCAAAGAGATGGGTCTACAGTTTTCTTTTCTGATGGGTCCCTATCTAGCTTTGGGTATGTAATGCTGGCTTCATAGAATGACTTTGGTAGTGATCTTTCCCTTGCTATTTCATTGAAGAGTTTGAAGAGTATTGGTGTCAGTTGTCCTCTGAAGGCCTTATGGAATTGGCAGTAAAGCCATCGGGTCCTGGGCTTTTCTTGGATGAGAGATATTATATTGCCATTTCAATTTCATTACTTGTTACAGATCTATTTAATTGGCTTAAATCTTATTAGTTTAGTTTGAGTCTATTGAGATGTTTCCTAGGAATGCATCCATTTCTCCCAGATTTTCCAATTTGTTGGCATAAAGGTTTGCAAAGTATTCCCTAAATATTCTAAATTTTGCTTTTTTCTGTTGTGATATTCTGTTTTTCATCTCTAATTTTATTTATTTGGGTGAGCTCTTCTTAGTAAGAATTGCTAAGGGTCTGTCAATTAATTTTTTCAAAGAACCAATTCCTCACTTGTGTTAGCTAGAATGTGTATATAAATCTTCAAATAAATACACTGAGTGGTAAGCAAGGGGTTACAAATGAATTAGCTGAAATGTAACAAACTCTATGGAAAGTGCAAATAGTATAATTGTTTAAAAAGACTAAGTCAAATCCCACCAAAATAAGTACCAGGAAATGGGTATTTGTAAGAGAAGAGCGTGGGGTCAAAGGGAAAGGGGTAGAAGAATGAAGGGGAAGAGGAGAAGGAAAGAATTTATTGTATATACCACAGAATTGAGAAATGTAAGAGGTGTGGAGATGTTGAAATGGTGACACAGATCAAGATGCATTATACATAAAACTTTTTTATTAAATGATAGAAAAATCAACATATAACTTAAAATTAAAATAAGGGAAGGGGTGAGTTGGGAGGAGTGGGTGAGAACGCTGAAAGATCAAGATGCACTGTATTTATAAACTGCTTTGGTGAGTGACAACTCCTTTGTACAACTAAAGATAACTAAAGATACTAAAAGTATTGAAAAATTATGGACATAACAATCTTCCCATAACATGGGGTCCATAATGGCACTTCTTGTTCCAATAATGTTCAACCAATAAAAAGAGTCGAGTCCAGACTGATGGTACATACACAAGCCATCAAAAACTCCACACAAAGCCCAGGAGGTGAGGAATTGAGAAATTATACCCACAGTATAATAACTGCCCTCCAAAAAGACACCATTTGCTTCCCTACTCTGGGACCCCTCTCTAAGGAAAGTCTGTTTTCCTATTTTTATTTTGCTTTCAAATAAACCTGTTCTGGCTGCTCTAAATACTTCCCTGCCTTTTAACGTCTTTTAATTCTAGACAGTGCCACTCTCCCTGCTCTAAATGAGCTTTTGAGGAAGTTGTCTATTTTGCTGAATGTTTTACAAAAATCTAAAGCAGAGAAATGGCACTTTCATCGCAAGAGTTTCCAATCACTTTCCTAGAATTCCACGCTCTTTTCAACCATAAAATAAAGGCAAGCTGGATATGAGTGTCTCCCAATTTCTATCATTTCCAAGGACTCTGTATCTAACACTTTAGCAAAACACAACTCCCCCTGATTTGTTTTGCTGTTTTCTTACTTCCAAAATGAAACACATGGAAATAATCCTATTAGGTAAGTATTATGAGTAAAACTGGAAATTCTACATTGATTTAAATTTATGAAGGAAACAGGAAGTTCTATTTTCTCCTTTTTAAATTGTTATATTACAAAGGTTTAAATATTTGATATTTTTGGTAATAATCTTAAATGCGAGAAATAGATGCAAGAGAACCATTATTATATCTTGTCACTTAAGCCACATCCTTTTCAAGAGATAAAACATTATCAAGATTGTTAAATACAATACACCAGTTAGGATAGATCATTCCAGAAGTTTCTTTGATGTGATTTTTTTTTAAACCAATAAGGATCATCCTATGTATATATATTAACCACTTACCTTTCCATTTCACTCAACAGCATATGAGAACAATTTTTATGACAACTTACACAGATTACTTACAAATAGATTTTATGAAATTTTCTTTTCAATACAGAAGATCAAACCAGGAATCTTTTTTGACACTTT